TATACCTAATATGCCAGTCTCAAGCTTGTGTTTAAATTCTTAATAATTGTGTTCTGTGTAGGCTTTGTTACTATTTCCCAGCGCCACTTCAGGAACAGCACTGTTAATTATTAGAACCCAACAGTGAATGGTCGAGTGGGGAATCATACCAAGGCATTAGAAAATATTTTTTTTATTATTATTAGAACTTATATACAGTGTGTTCATAATATGCACTGTACAAACTTAAATATTATATTCCTGAATTCATTTCAAGCATAAAATGTCCTATGAACAAATATCCAATTCTACATGGTTACCAAGCTGCAAGAGTTTAAATATCAAAAGATATATTAACACAGTATGCCATGTGTTCCCAATATGTCGAAACACAGCACTGAATGTTTGGTGCTTTGGAACTTGTCAGTATGGAAATCGTCGCTTGTTGAGGAGCTGGATAATCTCGAGGTTTCCATGTTGGAGCAGTCGTTGTTGGTGACTACTGGCAAATGTTTGTATTGTATTTTCAACAGTCTCCACTTTAAGGTTCCTATGAAGATCACTATTGTGGCAGTACCATGGTGCATCGACGATGTTCCCTAATATTTTATTCTGGAAACGTTGAATAACTTCAATGTCACTTTTACTGGCACATCCCCAAAGCTGGCGAATCGCTTCATTTTCACCAATTCCTTTAAACGCACTAATCTGAAACAAATTATAGGTAATTAAAAAGGTATATTAATATTGTTTTAAATTAACTATAATAAAACAAACAATACTCATGCATACACAAAACATGGAGCTCTACTTTTCAATCAGCTGTAGAACTAATAAATAAAATTGGTGGAAGGACCGCAAATGTAGGTTATATTTAAATAGAAATAAGAATATATAAAATGCCTATAAATTTGATAAACGAAATAGCGTACGAATAATGTACTTCTCAAGAAAATGCTTGGAACACATACAGCTGAATTTAGAAGGTTCCCAATTATGCTTCTTGACAAACTGTATTCACGCGATACGTTTTTCAGGATGTTTTGGAAATCTATAAATATTATTTCGTATTAAAAAGTATTTATTCCAATATAGGTGGGCCCAAAAGTTGATAGATGATTTTTTTGCATTTTTAAAAGCATACTTTTACACATTTTATACAAACCTGTCATAATACTGTCCTGTATAATATTTATAATTTTGATACTAACCTATGAAACGTTATTCCAGTCGATTTTTCACAAAAACGTCTATCGCTAGAGCAGGAACATATAACACAGCAAGGCATTATATACTTTATAAGTTTTTAACACTCAAAATTTGCTCAAACACAAATTAAATTCAAATTTAATAACACAAATGACACTAAAAATATAACCTATAAAATTTGACAATTTGCACTCACAGTAATGGCGGACCGGTCCCACTTTTCGTTTACGCATGTCGTATCCCTAGGTTGCCAGATCAATGCTCAATAGTCATGAGTTGGTTTGGTCTGCGTAGCATGAGCTTACTGATTATGAGTCTTTTGCCAGTGAGTTTGGTGTTAAGTAGTTATCCCACCTGTTAACTGCCTTTCGAGCAGATGTTTCGTTTATTCCAAATTCAGGTTCTCGTCATGAGAATGGTAATTTAGGTTCCTCTGTAGCGAGTTATATAATTCTTTTCATTAATATTTTTCTTGAATTGTTTATGTTATTAGGAAAATGCAGGTTTTCAGATTTTGAAGGGTTTTGCCACTGTTTATACCAAATGTATAACCGCAATATTTTAGGTAACTTTTTTTTCATTTTTGATAGTCACCTTAGTAAAAATTTTTAATTGTTTATAATATCCGTATCTAATGTGTAATATTTTGTTTTTTATACTTGCCTTATCTCTTAATTCTAATAGTCGTTTTTTATTGTCTGTAAACTAAGAAGGCTTAAGTTTTTGTAGGCTGGTTTCTCTTACGGGAGCGACTCTGTCAAATAAACCAGTTAATAAATGATTAAAATAAGAAAATTTATCATTAATATCCTGCATAAGTTTTTTTAAGGGGGTTAGCATACAAAAATTTTGTAATAAATTCATGTCATTTCTAGTTTAAATTATTTCATCACCTCCATCAATTTCAAAATCTTTTTCTACCTCCTGATTTACCTCGTTCCAATTGCAGTTAACTTGGAAGAGTCTGTTGAAGGTTAAACAGGGAAGAATGTGATCCTATCCTATATTAAATGGTATTTACCTCATGTGGTATTTTGGTATGTTTTATATTTTCCAATGTCTTTCAGTTATGCACTTATTCTGGTATCTCCCTTTATAACTAGGTCAAGGGATGGGATGTTTAGAATGATTTCCTTAATGGCTGTCGGTGCTCAATAAAGTCTCTTGGTTCAAACAGAACCCACCATTTCTATGTAATCAATAAACCTAAAACTAGACTAAAGTAACGCCGTGTTATAGTAAAATTAACATGGGTATTGGGACGCAAAGGCTTTCAAAGAAATGAATGGGTTGATAGAGATTAAAATACCCAATCACAGGACATTAAACTGTAATTGCTGTTTTTGACCGGCACACAGAGGGGCAAGGTTAGACAAAATTCACCAAAAACTCTAGAATGAAAATTTAGGTAACTGACAAAAATAACCACGGTAAACCTACTACAATAAATCCTTCTTTCGAAGTCACAATAGCCTTGGATTGTCCGCGTGATAAAACAAAAGATAAAGCTTGTCAAAAAAAGCGTTTTAAATGCGTATATTGCTGTAATTTTTTAAGTGCAAATAATATTGATAAATTCGGTCTACTCTTTGTGCTATAATAATCAAATTAACTTTGATAATAATGATGCAAAATAATCGACGTGATAAGTAGATTGTTATTGTATAAAAAAAAGTATAGCAGTATTTTACTGTTATTCCATGGAGGCATTTTTATGAGTTCTGCAAAAATTAACAAATTTATTTAGACCTAGGATTTCTTTTAGACAAAAAGTAGCAAATTCTGCCGTATTCAGTGTAGATTTTGACTCAGTTTCTTTTCGTGAACATTCTTATTTATAGTGGTATTGCGATTAGCTGCTAGTTTTTGCTTATAATGCGATAATTTAGGCATGCGCAAGAGGGTGATATTTTTGTAACACTATTACTAGAAATGGCAGTCGGGCAACTTTTTTATAATTTTTTTTATTCCTGTTTTGTTACCTCCTGCGTGATGCTAATTATTACATTTATTTGTCTATAATATGCATCTTATGAGAAACTCTAATTAAATTGGAATTTATCGGTACGTTTATTTTGGTTTTTTTCAGTCTTTCTTGGCAAGAGTTTACTTTCCGCACACTTATAAAAAAACTATTTCTGCAATGAAATGATTTTTTTCTATTATAAATAAATTTGCTCTCTATGTTTGTGTTGTTTTAGATTATTTGAACTTAGAAATGAGTCGAAGAGATCTGTGGGAAAAGATTAAAAAATGCCCTTCAAGAAAACAAAACCGACAATGTACATATCATAAAGAATACATAAGAAATTTAACAAATTGCCCAATTGACAAGTTTCAAATTATTTCAAACCAAATTTCAAAATTTATTTTTGACTTAAAAAAAAACAAAATGGCCAAAAGCTTGAGTTACGTCAGTTTTTGCTAAAACAAATAAAAACCTGGCTAGATACCAAAGTGGTATTTACCAACTAAACACGTGCTTTAGATCAATTAAAAATTGGACGCCCTTTGAGTGATTTTTCATTTAGTTGCGAAAAGAGAATTCGGTCGAGGTTATCTGTTATGCGACTCAAATGGAGCTCAAAAAATCTGGTAAAGTGCGAGCCTCCAAACTTATACAATAATATAAAATTTAGTTCCATTTGTGTAGAAGTTGAACTTCAATCCCTACTTCACAACACTACCAAGAAAATATTGTTATTACAAAAAGAAATGTTGGGTAGGTTTAATCGAAAAATACTAAAGAAAGTATTGTTGATATGCAAATGGGGTTCCGATGGCTTCTCTGGATAAAACAGTAATCACCATTTATCATTATTTAACATGTATTGCCTGAAAACAGCACAATTACTCATAGATAGATAAATATTCTTGGTATTATATGACGCCAACAGTTCACTTAATTTTAAATCAAGGTGCAGAAATTATTCGTTTCGTACTTCTACCAGTTGGCCAGCATCCAGAAGAGGCTGCAGAAAGTAGAAACAAAGATTTTAAAAAATATCGAGAAGATGTTTTAAGGGGCTTCTTCTCTCTTCGGATCCTGTTATTACTGGTATTAGAAAAACTCAAAAATTAAAGAGAAATAATTTTTCTAGCGTTTATCCATGCTTCTGCCACCAGAAGTTGATGACCAAATTAGTCATGTTTCTGATAGTGATAACTCTTTGGATTGTAATTTTGATTAAATATTAGTTTTAAATAATTATTGTTCCATTGAGCTATAGACCTTAGTTTATTGTCTATATTTTCAGTTAATACATTGTTAAACCACCGATATATTAATATAAAAGCCTTTTAATTAAAAAAATATATATATATTAATTTAGTATTTTGATAATATTTGAAGTGTGTTCTGTAGCAAAATATTCTGTTGTGTTTTATTTTTTCTTTATATTTCCACTCTTGAACTTAATTTGTCTTCAACAAATAATGTAATTTCAGAAGGGATAATTTTATTATAAAAGATAGTGATTAATATATCTACTAATACCTACTCCTACTAAGCTGTTTTACTACTTGAGTTTCTCACAATTTTTTAAGGAATAGCCTGTATATACTTTAAAAGGTGTCAGTTATAATGAGACCCTGTATAGTGTCAATAATATCTCTGTTGATATTAGTTTCTTATATTTACACTTTAAACACATGACAGAATACAAAAGTATAAGCTTTAATGCTGTCCAGAATTGTTGGTAAGTTTTGATGCTTTTTGCCCCTGTGTGCGGCAGTGAGTAGGTGCGTAACTAGAAAACACCAAATTTATTTGCAACATATTACTCCTGCGTTTCTTAATTTTTCGCACCAGTCTAAGTCGAAATCTTGCCTTTTGTTTTAATTTTTTTAGTTTCGAATATTTGTGTAATTATTATTTTTTCTTTCACTCTTTTCACGTGTTTATACTGCCTCAATTTTAAGTTCTCTTTCTTTTCTGAAAAACTGAAGGACTTATCTTCGAATTTTTCCTGAAATTACCAATTGCCATTTTATTTTTATTGCTTCTTGGAAATCTTATTTCAATAAATTTGTCTTTTTTTGTCTTACCGCTATTGTCCATGTGTCTGCTCTAATTTATTATACAAGGTGTTTAAAAAAAGAATGGCATTAGTGATACGGCTAATAGTAGGGCTGTTACGGGATAGCTTTTTGACGTATCTAGTACGACCTGTACCTGTTCCAAGTAGATACCTATTCCAAATACCTATTCCCGTTACAAGCTATTCTAAATTTTATGACAGAATATTGTTGTCGCTTGGCAAATATTCAGCAGGGAGTAGGGGAATCCCTGAATCTGGTGAATCCCATAAGCATAATATACTGGATTGTCTCTGATATTTAATATCAATCGATATTGTATTGAACTTAAAGCGTGCTATTGTTTACATAATAACATTAATTAAATTATTGTTCATTATGAATAGACGTTCGAGTGTAGTATGGAATTTTTTTTTCGGTGGTAGATGACAAAAAATAAATTACAAAATGTAATGTGCAAAACAGTAATTTCTTATAAAACCAGTGTCTAATTTAAAAAAAAAAACCTTCTAAGAAAGCACCCTACAGTACAATTACAATTACTTTGAATAATTTTAAAAATGCCACTAGTTCGTAAATACTCCTGTATAATAAACATATTATAATCCCTAAACAACTACCTACAAGCAAGAGAGTTGAAACATCAAACAAAAAACGAAACCTAATACCAAAATACTGAATAGGTACACAAACGTATTACAAGTTGCCTGACTAATCCCACATCATTCCGTTTCAATTACGAACATCAGTTACAACGCGCGATAGCATCCAGTGACACAAGTAATAGGTTTGTGTGAAATTTGGTAACAGGTACGCGGAATAGGCAGGAGATACCTATTCCAAAGTAACAGATCCAGTTCCATTGTAACAGCTCTAGCTAATAGTAACAGTTCGTGAAATATCGCTCATTAATAATTTACATCAGTGAATCAGTCGAAATTAACCAATTGTCTAAACCTCACCCCTCTACATTTGATGATAGAGAATGTTGCAAAAATTACACGATATAGAATGATCAGGAATGGAGTAATCAGACGAAAGTCTACCTGCTTCAGGACTAAAGATACCTGGGACATGCCTGTGGCGACATCATAGCACCACATAGTCTTACCTTTAGTTTTGACTTTTACGTCAATTTATTTTAAGGTTTCTTAGTCATTTTTTATTTACTTACTCTGAGGTTTTTATTTCAGGTTGGTCAAGTGTCAATGTCAGATGGTACCATTATAATATCACACTCCGAGCAATTACTAATGCTCGGAGATATCACATATATTATGATCTTGGTCGATAGCTGCGTACACTAGCACCCTACTTATCCGATGGATGGTAACCATGGAAAAAGGAAACAAAAAATTGATTGATTACTGATTTCGAAATTAACAAGACAAGACGTACCTTTGACACATTTTTTATATGACGCCTTTTTATATTTAAAAATAAAATTATCTTTTAATTACTCAGATCCTGATTTCCTGCTACCTACAATGCCTCAGGATGAAATGTTAAAGAAGTACAGTTTTGTGAAAAACTCCAAAACCACAGAGCTGGGCTGCAAAGAATGGAGCCAAGAATCCATCGCGCTTGCAATTGAAAGACGTGCTATTCAGTGGTATACGGACGGTTCCAAAACCATAGAAGGGACTGGAATTGGAGTGTATGGGCCGAGAACGAAGCACTCCGAAAGCTTGGGAAAATACCCAAGCATCTTCCAGGCGGAAATTCACGCCATCGAGAAATGTATCCAGTTAAACATCGAGAGAAACTATCATAGACAAGAGATTATCATCATGTCCGATAGTCAAGCAGCCATCAAAGTGCTGAGCTCTTACGTAATCATCTCAAAAATGGTCTGGAGATGCCTAGAACAATTGAGTGAGCTAGGCGAGAAAAATAGAGTTACTCTCATTTGGATCCCGGGACATAATGGGGTACAAGGTAACGAGATTGATAGTCTTGCAAGGAAAGGGGCTCAAACACGCTTTCTAGGACCTGAGCCGCTCTGTGGTATCAGCAATAACATAATATTAGGAGAGATTAAAAAAGAATTGGGCTGTAGAAGAACCGTTAATTAGAACAATCTCTTGGGGCTGAGACAGGCCAAGATACTTCTGGGTCAATATATAACCAGAAAAGATCGGAAGCCTGCATCTGTCTGAACAAGAACAGGCTACGTATTGTAACAGGGATCCTTAACACGTTCGCTGCTGATTGACGACAATTGTCGTCATTTGTTGATCATCCTGTGTGCGCCCGACGACAATTGTCGTCATTGTGCAGTGCATCCTAAATCGCTTCTTCTGCCGTTAGCACGGCTCGCAACCACTTTTAATACCCGGTCAGCAGCGAACGTGTTAAGGGGCATTGCCGACTAACAGGACACCTTAGTAAACTGAGAGTAGTAGAGGATAGTGAGTGCAGATTCTGTGAGGAGGGGGACGAAACCTCCATTCACATCCTAACTGAATGTGTAGCACTCCAGAATCCAAGGGCACTATATCTAGGAGGATATCAAATAGAAGAGGGAGATTTACCTAACTTGAAGCCACTTCAAATCCTACACTTCTTTGAGAAAATAGGATTGGAAGAGTCGTTATAGGCATTGAGACATTTCCTTGGTGCATTGGCCACAAAAGGGGACACAATAGATCTTTTAGGTCGCAGTGTATTACCACCCCATTCCCAACATAACATAACCAATTGCCTAGCCACCCAAGTTGCCAGACCTAACTTCTTGTAATTCTTTTTGAGTTCTTTTTTTAAGTTGTCTTTATTTTAATGACTTTTATACATAATTAAAAATAGAAGTATCAACTCCGAAATCACTCTGTATTTTTTGAATAAATTTGGCAGATATTTTAATTGATTTATCATTTATGCCATTTACTTATGGCATGTTTTTTTCATACATCTTATACATTTCTACTGCAATCACTCGTTCCACGTCTTTAAAAAATTACAGGTTTCGAGAAAGTTGTTTCGGAATGTCAGTGGAATTTTCAACTGTCTGAAGCTTTAGTCAACGTGTCCTAATATGCAAACTTTTGTTAAGATGTTTTCAACGTTTAATTTTTGTAAACAATCTCTAGTGTGTACTCTAACATCTATTTAACCTACATTACTTGGAATCCATCAATATCCTCGCTTCGTGTGGCATGCTTAACAATGTTTAAATTTTTTTTAATCTTTGAATCATCCAATATTAACATTTATAATGATGCACAATAAATATCTTTTTGCTCCTACCAAGAAGAAGTCGTTAGACGAACAGTAACCGCATGACACCTAATATTGTTGAAGACGTTGTTTGCATTCGGTTTACACGATGGCGAACACGCATAAATAATGCTAATCATACATCTCGAACTAGAAGTACTCGATAGAAGTAACACTAGTTGTTATGGTAAAGAGCAAGAGTATAATATTAAATTCTGGATGGAATTTATTCCGCTAATTTACATTTACGCTGTGTTTCTCTTGTAAGCCCACAGATTTCATTACTATTTCGGCAGAAGCACTTCGCAGAGTTGTGCTCTTATAAGAATGGAAAATGAGTTGGTTGCTCAGTATATTACATCGTTGACAGAATTCCAAGTGCTTCTTATTTTAAATTTTAGATAACTCCATTCTTATCGTCGGCATTCCTGCTCCGTGCCGTCAAAATTCTGACCTTTATTTATTTTTATTTACAACATGAGATATATCTAATAACGCGACAACAACAAAAAAGAAATAACTTTTATGTGAAGTTCATTTTAATTCGTTTTTGTTTAAGATTAAAAGTTATTGCTCCGCAAGAAATTTGTATTAATAATAGGCATTCTGTTTTAATTCTAGAAGACACAATTTTAAAGATAATACCATTGTTTTCTGTACAAAGAGAATAAGTGGCACTAGCCCTGGGTTAGCATAATTTTTGAAAAAATGGCCCGTTTCTTCAAAAAAATTACAGTTTATTAATTTCTCTAAAAAAGGACAACTTTTAATAGAGAATTAAAATTATTAAACATGCATTATTCTTTAAACGATTACTATCAAGTTGTAGGAAATCCTTTTCTTAACAAGATCAAAAAATTGGTTGTAATATAAAGCCGTAATTATTAAAATACCAAAATAATTTCGGGTATAAAAATGATTGAAAAATATGACTATAATATCCCATCTCAAGAGGAATGGGCGATGTTGCTTTCCTCGTCTACCTAGCATTGAAATTTGGCCAGATACGGATGAAGCATAGTAAGCAATAGTACTTTGCAATTTTTATATTACTTACAAATGCTTTTTATTCGTAACTTATGCTATAAGTTCAAGAGAATGAAATTCAAAATTGTTTCGGTCTGTACTGGTTGAAGTTCAAAAAGATCTTCTAAGAACCGATTACACCGTTATGTTAAATGAAGTTTAAATTACTAAGCAAACATTAAAATGACATTGTTAATGTAAAATTATCATTTTAAACTTGGTTTATTTCTTATTATTTCTTAACAACTAGCAGGCTTTGATTGATCCGCATTTTATGATGCTGTCGTTGAATGACATAATCATATTTTGTTGTTACCAACTTTGAGATATTTCACACGATATAAAAAATTACAAAGGCATGAGTCGAGTTCACGCATGACGTATAGTGGTATGAAAGATTGCTGATTGGCCATGATCTGATTAAAGTTTATTTTCACGCGTTGTTTTCGATCAGCCACGCCTTCCATCACAATACTTTGCCGTCACGTACTATCAATAGGCGTAATATCATACCTTTTTTATATAGTACCATTGATATATTACACGTTTTCTCTTTTTGACTTCGTCGATCATATAGACAGACTGGGATAAGGTATAAGAATTCTTCTTAGTTAATCTCACAAATTTTTCCAAGGTTATGAGTTTTTGCTTTTAAAATAACTAAATATTATGGAAGGACAAACAAATG